TCTCGACTATGAATCAGGACTCATCATGGTGGAGTCTAATTACTCCATCACCTCTCCCCCACCCTGCAGAGGTGGCACTTCACTGTGCAGTAAAAAGTGTGTGTGTGTGTGTGTGTGTGTGTGTGTGTGTGTGTGTGTGTGTGTGTCAGGGGAACAAACTGCGACACGGTCTGCATTTTGCTAGTGTGGGGTGTGTGGGGGGTGCACACAGGCCCCTCACTGGTAACTTTGCAGATACAGATTGTGTGGAAAACGTCTCTTATGGAGGGAAAAATGAAATAAATGAAACAACTACACCAGAAATCAGTCACAGCACGCGCTGCAGACAAAGAAAGAGCTGACAAGTTTACACAAATGTTTTTTGTTAACGTCTGGTTACAGATACAAAGAAAAAAACTACGTATAAAACTCTGCACTTCCCTGGCTCTGTGTGAGTTTCAACTTGCAAGTACGGATACTGACCCCATTTTTTCCTTTTAGCCGACTGATCAATGTCACATCAATCACAAATCACGAAGGAAAACTGTGTGAGTTGGGCGAAATTTGTGTCACAGGTTTACGTGCTCACACAGGGACCTCCAGAGCTTTTTCAGCGGCTCTGTGGACCTCGGGGGGAAATGCGGTGTCGTGGAAACCCCCAAAACAATGTGTAAACCTGTGTAAACGATTTGAGTGCATAACAAGCTCTGAGGCAGACTCATCATAACCCTCCCAAAGCTCTCTGCACCCAAAGAACCAATAAAAGAGATCTTTTCTTATCTACAGCTGTTCTTATTATTTCTGAAGGAGCTAATTTAAACATTTCAGCATGCAGGACACTTTCACAGTGAGCCGTGGATAATGGAGATGGATCCATTCAGTCCTTTTGGTTCAAACACAAATCAAAAGAGTCCAAAGACAAATCAGGATCATGTTTAAGTAAAGTTTTACAAATTTAGAAGGACACTAAAGCATAGATCTTAAAACACTTTGAGGTGTTCAACAGGAAACATGACTCAGGAACACACGCGTACTCTGATTATTAAAGTCACAGTAACTAAAGGACGATAAGGAAGCACTGCAGTCCACAGACTGTCAGACGTGCACCAGTCTCTCCAGCATCTCTCACACCTTCACTGTTTAAAGTTTAACAATTTAGCAGATTTTCTTTAAAGGAAGCAAAGGAGATAAAAATACATCATCAAAGTCAGAGGTCACATACAACAGCTGCCATGAGGGGGGAAACCAAAACACTTCCTCATCAGCCTGCTG